AACCCTTGCGTATAGACGAGGTTCTTATGCGCCTCATTTTCTTTACACGAGAACAGTATTGGTATCGTTAGTGAGTGGACTAGGTCGCATTGCTGCATGGTCTACACGAGAAGAAAAAGGACCAGGGATCCCATCTTAGACTGGCAAAGAGCTTTTTTGATCGCCCCGAGTCTCCATCTTTGAAAATGATGGAGTGGCTTTTCTGGGGTCTGCACAGTGGCGGCCCAGCACAAGCGAGACATCCCTTTGCTCAAATCTTGGTAGCCTCTGTCCAGTCACTAATTCTGAAGACGTTGATGGGTCACTGTTTCGGAATGAAGGACTACTACACACATACATGCAGGTTCCGATATACGGTATAAACAGTTTAGCCGTGACTACAGCCGTCGTTCTACATGTATAAAGGGGTACTTTATTGGCTATAGAAGTACTGCAGTCATGTGAAGACTCTCACACGTCTCACAGCCATGCATTGTTGCATACTCTACTACGTCATACGACAATCTATTCAAAGCTCATGATTAGAATAGACTGATGGTAGTCAGGCAACCAGTGACTATAGATATTCTCCAACCACGGTCAACATCTGCAGGCGGTTATACATATCTAAGCCGCAGTGCTAATGCTCAACCCAGTGCATTTGGCGCGTGGAGACGCCAAACAAGTATGATTGCAGAAGATGTTCGGGTGTGAATGTCGGAAGTTCTAAATATATTACATATTCATCTACATACTTATCGTACCTACGCAAGCACCGAGATGCGGTGTTGGAGTGGCGCAGCCAGCACCGCCCTGCCCGTGCCGCATGCACTCGAATTACCTACGCCACATGTTTCTGCCGTTTCAATCGTCATTCGTGAGTCTTTCTTCGTGTCTTCTCGACCTATCGTCTCACGTCTCGTACATGCAAACTTTTGCGAAGCGCTCAGATGAAGTCTCCACCGCCAAAGCCACCGAATGGATTTGGCGGTCGTCCACCTGCTCCGCCGAAACCACCGGGTCCGCCAAAGCCTCCTCCGCCTGGGAACATGGGGCCTCTTCCTCTATCCTCCCTCAGTGGATCACCAGGTCCCATCGGATCGTAACGAGCGCCGGGTGGTGCTCTCGGATCATACCCGCCCTGTCCGCCTTGACCACGAAACAGTGGATCGTCGAAAGTGGGATGCATACCGCCACCGCCGAAACCACCAGGCCGCGGCAGTCCGCCTGCTAAGTGTGGTCTGAGAGGATCGTTCGGTCCCAGACCTTGTGGGTACAAGTCGTCGTGGCCGATGTTGATAGGATTATTACCAGGCATGCGACCTGGTTGCCGGTTTACTTCCAGTTCGTCATCAAAGCCGGGTATGGGCTCTGGTAGATGCCGCCCAGATCCTGGTCGCGCGGCGAGAGGGTCATGGAACGGATATGGCCGCGCAGGCTCTGGCTCGTTGGGGGGTTGCCGTGGATTCGCAGGCTGACCTCGTTGCGGTTCTTGCTGATCTGCTGTGGGTGTGCGTTCTCGATCCTCGCTGGCCTCCTCATATCCTGGCTTGTTCAACCCAGGTGCCAGTTTCTGGATGATGGAGATCTTGAGAAGGGAGCCTAGATCGTTCAGCCTGCCTGGGGATATGAAGAGCTCTTGCACCTTCTGCGATACGTCATCGGTTGACGCGTCTTCAGATACGCTGAACGGTAGCTGTGATTCTGAGATGTAATCCTTGGTTGTAACTTCGAAATGTGTAGTCTTGTCATCGCCCAGCGCCAGGGCGTAGACGACCGCCTTGCCTCCCAATCTGTTGACTTTGACAAGGTATTCCATGGCTGATTGTGCGTGCGCGTATCGAAAAGCGTATGAAGAGGATGCGTTCCATTCTTTGGGTAATGCGGAAGGGTTTTCAGCGTCTGCGTGCGCTTCTATGAGTTCCCGAGTTATGACAAGTGACGAGCGGAGCAAAAAAAGATGGATGCTTACCTATGCGCTCGTCTTCGCCCAGTCCGATGAGACGGAATCCAACGGCAAGCATGCCAGCGTGGACAGACAATGCGACAGCTTCGGTTCCGTTCTTGAGCTGTGAAGAATCGCCTTTTGGTAGTGACGTCGCCATGAAGAGAGCGAGCGAACCCGAGCTCAGCGGGTTGCCTGTAGTATTTTGGGTTACCATGGTTGCAGATGCCGAAATGTGCTGCGGGTCTGCAAGGTTGTGAGATGTGGCCCGGAGAATTTGTAGCGTCAGTTGCAGGTGGTAGAGGTGTTGTAAGAAAGTGGTGTATATGAAGGAGCGTCAAACCATAAAAGGTGCAATTGCATTCGTACTTGGACAGCAGGCAGCGACCAACGACGCGTCGGCGGGGTCCGGGGCGCGCTAATGCACATGCGGGACTGTTCGATCTTGATCTGCAAGCCTCACGATATCTGTTCATGCACGATGCAAGTGCCAAACTCGATAAAGTTTCAACTGTACTACTTCCATGACATCACCATTGGCATCTATGTGCTGCAAGAAAAGCAGGTAATATTGCTGGGCAAAGGAGCTGCTCAATGCGCATCCGCACGCAAATAGAGACTATGGTACTACTGAAAAAACATATGCGCCACACCACGGGGAATAATCTAGGACCAAATGCGCCACAGGCAATGCAACAACAAGGACATGAGGAAAATCTGCATCGACACCGGTACGAAGCCTACTCTGGCACATCTTGCGAGTTGCTTGCCGCAAGCTCGTTCGGTTCGAGAAGGCTACAGTCAACGTTAGCATGTCCCAGGCAGTAACAGTGAACTGATAAACCACTTACGAGTACTGTTTGTACAACGTCCCCTCGCCTCCCTTCTCCAAGTCTACGTTGAAGACATAGTAGTTGCCTTCGCTGGTGACAACCATGATCTGAGGGCCGTTGTTGTTGAGTGCTACTACATTTCTAACAGGCCCTGAAGACAAGCTCGTGGGCGAGCGCGGTATCTTGACCCAAGCAAAATCGCGCGATGGCTCCCATATCTCTGCTACAGCGCTAGGTAGATATCCGCCGACAGTAGCAGCGAACGACTTTCCAACGGTTTGCGATGTGCGTCGTATCAAGCTACCAAACGTGGGATTGATGGCTTTCCGCTCTGGCGACGTTATATCTGCCGTGCTCGTACCAAACTCGTCCTCTGTCTCTTGGCTCGCTCGACTATTGCTGCGCGCATGGGACGCCCCCATGGGCTTGCTGGGCCCGGAAGAGACGCTATTACTTCTGCTGTTGGGCGCTCCTAAGCGGAAGATGTGGACCGTCTCGGTCGCTGACGATACGCTGAGCAAGGTCGACGTGGAATTGAAGGACATGCTGTATATCCTAGCTGGTATGGAACCCCTCCTAAACTGGTACAGCTTCTGTGCATCGGGTATAGAGAAGACACGGATGATGGTGCCCTTTTCTGATGCCGTCGCCAGCAGGGTGCCATCGCTGTTCAGCGCGATACAGGACAGTGGGGAGTTGTGCGCCTCGATGACGTTGACTGCCTCCATCTTTGTCGCATCGTATATCAGGACCTCTCCGCTTGTGGGCGCAATGTGATCAGTCTTGGGCGGCGCATGCGAAGGCGGCTGGAAGGTAGCGGGTGCGGCTTTGGTGGGTAGCGGATAAACAAGATAGTTGTTTTCAGATGATGCGGATAGGGCGCATATCGCTATGCTTATTAGCAACTGTAGAGCAGCATTTCTCTCGACGTACCATTCGGATTAGGCGACGTCTTCTCGGTCTTGAGCATCTGGAGGTTGCTTATATCGTAGATGTAGAGCTCCGACTCGAGCACAACTACGATTCGCTTCCTGTTCATCCGCATGGCCAGAATGGCTGTTCGAAAGGTCATCTCACATATGGTCGAGTGCCTCTTGACAGTGTCAGTACCTGCATAGCCATGGCCGCCTAGCCAACGAACCTTTGTGTTTTGTATCCGCAGCACTCGCGGCGACAGTGTGAGAGCAACTAGCGATGTCGAGAAGAGCATCTCCAAGCTCGAGACATCTCCCTCGCGCGACTCGGACTGCTTGTTGAACGGGTCCGTGGTGTATATGCGGTAGCCATTAGGTGTGCCTGCAGCGGCTGGTCAGTACGGATGAAGCTTGACGTAGACGTGGTGCATACCGACGCCCAGATGGCTATGGTCTTGGTTGAATGTGACAAAATTCATGACTGCCGTGCGTGTCGGTGTGTTGGTGTCGACTGCGTGCTTGGGCGTACTACGAAGCTTGGGGACTATATGCGCGTGCGAGGTTGGTGGAGCTTTGGGCAGCCGTTCGCGAGAGATCAGCCCTATAGGCAGCGTACAGAGGTAAGCGCAGACCCGAGCGATGGCGATGCGGAAATCAGCATGAGTGTATACCTGCGTGCGTGGGCGATGGAGATACTTTGGAGCTATGCGCTGCTCGCCGCTACCACTGTCTGACGATGGTTCACGCGCCCATGCAGGGATCCCGACGTCAGCTAAGCCCCGCGCCGTGGCTGGTGCACCACAAAAACATTCCTCTCCCACGTCCATGTCGGCAACATCTGCCAATCCGAGACATGGCCAAAGACACTATGCGGCCCAACAAGGTCCTCCCGAGGACCAAGGGCAAGCAGAAGACACTGCGCGAGAGAAGAGATGTTGACATTATGAACGTGAGGTTTCCCAGCCTCTTCAGCCAAGCGTCCCTCTTCAAAACCAAGTAACTAATATCCACGTCAGACGAATGACAGCAGCATTGTTTCCAAAAGGAGTGTGTCCAAATTGTATCTCAGTCATGAACCGGACTTCTATGAGCCTTTTGTTCCAAAGTTCCTTCGACGCAGTAGGTGACTTCTGCCTCGAATCCACGTGAACGTACACTGATGCTCGACTCGCGTTTCAAGACCCGTTGATTAATCGAGGATACTGGCTACGCATGCACGCTGTTGAACAGGCGGTCCGTCGGTTTCTAGAAGAAGGTAATTCAAGGCCAAAGATTGTTGTGAACTTGGGATGTGGATAGTGAGTAAGACATTCATCGCCCACTGGCAACATGAAAAAAAAAAAAATACTGAACTCTGAAAGCGACCCCTTGCCATTCCAGTTCTGGCACAGATATGCACCTCTCACGCAATCGGCAACCTTTGTAGACGTCGACTATCCACAGCTGATGCAACGGAAACGGGATACCATGCTCAGCAATGGTCTTCTTCGAGACGCTTTGCTCAAGACCAAACTGCGCCATGCCGAACAGCCTGTATATCTCCGTAGTGACAAGTACATGGCATTGGGCTGTGATCTCAAAGACCTCGTGACACTCGAACGTCTTTTGCGGGCCGAATTTGATGTTCCGTCGTCCTCGATCCTGTTCGTCGCCGAGGTGTCCGTTACCTATATGCCGCTAAACGACTCTGATGCACTTATACGATGGGCTAGTACCATCGAAGACGGTTCGCGGACTCCAAAAATTCTGCTCAAAGTGGTATGCTAACAGATCCAGCTCGCTTCTGCATACTAGGTACTCGATCCTTCACCTATGTATACCATTGCTTTCCTACTGACTTCATATCGCATAGAACAGTACCTTCCCCAAGGCCCAGCCCATCCCTTTGCCAAGACTATGCTGTCTCACTTCGACAAGCTTAAAGCATCAATCAACGCGGTTAAGTTGCATTCATCGCTAACTCAGCAAGCCACTCGTTTTCGTAATGCAGGATGGCCAACTCTAATCATGGCCCGTAATCTATGGGACCTTTGGTCCGATGATGCTTTTACCCCTCCCGCGCTCAGAAGCGGGCTGGATGCTATAGAGCCGTTTGACGAGTGGGAAGAATTCGCGCTATTTGGCGGTCATTATTTCCTACTCGTCGCCTCGAATTCGGAGCAACGGAGAACGCCCGAATCGATCCACAGTGAGGTAGCAGCCACCGGAGAGTGCAGCAAGGCTATCGATGCGCAGAGTATAGCCCTTGAGATTCCAGAGCAATCCACTGGTGCCGTAACACCACGACGTTTCACAGCAGCTTTCGCTGTTGACAAGGACTCGGTGGCCTTCCACGGAGGTCAGGGGACGCGTGCTCGTCTCGCCGATATGGATGTCCTGAGGCGGGAAGATCACAACGGGGATCGTATCAGCAAGCCTTGTGACTTGCTACCTACTGCACGCATGTGCCATACTATCACATCAATGCACAACGGTGAAGCGTTGTTGGTCGGAGGGCGCGGATCGCCTACCCAGGCTTGTGCAGATTGCTGGCTCTTCGCTCATGGAGCTTGGACCAAAGTGGATGACCTTGTGCCAGCGCGATATCGTCATTGCGCTGTAGCTGTTACATTAGGAAGTGGGGAATCACAGACCCATGGTGTTTTCGTCTTCGGTGGCAAAGCCAGTGACGGCACAGTACTCGATGCCGAACACTACTGCGCCTTATGGACTGCCAACAACGGATGGCACAGCATTCCCGTTGACGGACCGTGCCCGTCTGTACGCTTCGGCGCCGCGATTTCCACGATCGGTTCTGCTCAAGATTGGGGGCTGCTGATAGGAGGTGCCAACAAGAGCGGCGTGGTCATGGAAGACGCGGTGTGGGAGTGGTCCGTTTCCGCCACACCAACACCACGACTCAACTTTAGGCACCGCACCAATGATGTGCGCAGCAGCTTGGAAAACTCTGCATGCGCGCGTATAGGTGCCAATCTAGTCCCTTGGAATGATTCCCTGATGTTGATTGGAGGTGTTTCAAAGAAGCATATCCACTCTCTATCAGACGACTTCCTGCTCTTGACATGCAAGGACACGGCAATCGAAGTGGAGTGCCTCAGTATGCAGGTCTCACCACCAACAGCATGGCCTTTGCTAGTGGGTGTAGGGGCGGTTTCAACATCTCGAGGCGAGATTGTGCTTGCAGGAGGAGGGGCGGTATGCTTCTCAATGGGAAGCTACTGGAACGAAGAACCGATGACCATATTTCCCGGTCCTTCACAAGGGGCTAAGCCGTGGCGTCGCGTTGTGCCGAGTCAGGTCAGCGGCGCAGCAGGCACAGAAGGCACAGCACAAGCGAGCACTGCTGAAACGACGACCAAAAGCCAACGAGGGGAAGCGAAAGCGAGAAAGAGACCTGCTACTGCTGCACATACTACTGAGATTGCCAGAGTGCAAATCCAGTCGTCAGATGACTTTGCGAAGCTGACGGCGTCGTTGAAACCGGCCATCATCGAAGGCCTCGATATCGGTCCGTGCACAGACTTATGGACACTTGACTACCTAAAAGAGAAGCTTGGCCCAGAAAGGGAACTCGTCATACACGAGTGCTCTTCAGACCGTATGACATTCAAGGACAAGAACTTTTCGTACATCAAGAGATCGGTCTCAGATTTTCTGGGCGGAATAGCACAAGGGTCTCATGCATATCTTCGTGCTGTGTCATCAAGTCAGCCGAACAAGCTGCCCACCAAACTTGAAGAAGATTTTCCGACAATCTCCAACGATTTCCGTGTGCCCGCTGTGTGCAACATAGTTCAAGAGAACTACCACAGCTCACCCCTTCGCATCTCTGGGCCTGTGACCTTATGGCTACACTATGACGTCCTATCCAACATCCTCTGTCAGATCCGCGGTTCAAAAACCCTATTTCTCTATCCACCTACCGATGTGTCCCTACTGGACTTCCCCCCTGGTGGCTCATCCTCCAATATCGATGTCTTGACCTCTAAAAACCCTAAGCTTCGACGCACTCATCCCCACGTTGCTTCACTTAAGCCAGGTGACATACTGTACATACCACCCATGTGGAGTCATACAGCTACACCGGAAGACGGCGTTAGCGTGGCAGTCAACGTATTCTGGAAGGGGCTGGAGAAGGGGTACGCGGCAGGTAAGGATGTGTACGGAAATAGAGACTTGCAAGCATATGAAAACGGTAGAAGAGACGTGGAGAAGATTGTTAAAGCATTCAGAGATCTACCAGTCGACGTGTCCAAGTTTTATCTAGCCAGACTTGCGGACGAGATATCGGAGAGATCGGAAAAGCTGGGAGAGAAGAAGCGAACGAGTGATAGCAGGGAAGATGAGCGATAGATAGTACGTATGCTATCGGCAAATGCAATCTGTGAACAGTTCTATTTGGCTTTCTCTGATTTCGATGTCTTCTCAGAACGCAAATCGCGTCCACAACATCTTTGGAAGCTTCATTTTACCTTCTTTCGCCTTTACCCTGCACCATTGGCCACTACTAACATGACTGATACGATATAAGAGTACTGAGTGTGAATGGCACGCAATGTATGGTGGATTTTGATGTGATTTGGATAAACGAAGCTAGGATATCTACTCCGTCTCAATAGAGTGTGAAGGTCTACAGCTCTTCGTCCCAGATATCATTCCAACGTCCGGCATCCAATTCAACAGGCCCATCAAATCGACCAAATCTCGGCGGCCCCGTACCTGGCTCGGGTAGACAAATCCATTCTCGTATGCATCCAGGTACTTCGTGTTTACTATGGCTGACGCAAAGCAAAGCTTGGTGTTCTTGTAATCCGGGCATTTCGACCTCACCCTGCCACTTCACCGGTTTTGGTCCGTCGTCTGAGGATTTGAGTTCCATACTCTGGCCGCGACTGAGAAACAAAAGACATTTGTCCCGAACGAGATCGTCCATGCCACTGAACGCTTCATCTAGGATAACAATATCAGGATTCCGGATCGTGGCGCGCAGGAATAAGAGGACGCGCTGAGCTGAAAATGAGACTTCGCCAAACAGAGTGTTGGATGCCCAAGCAGTAGTCTGGCTACCTTTTTCACAGCTGCCGAATCCAGGTCTAAGTTCCGCCTCAAACCAGTTTAAGCATGCATCCACTCTTTTCTTTGCCTCTCCATCTAGTCTTGGCTTTGTGATTGGTGTATCAGCCCATGCACTCTCCAATGTTGTTCTCAGAGTCAGTCTCTTCGGAAACAGTGCATGAACCTCTGGACTCGCATGACCCATCCGCGACTGTATTTCGAAAATGGTTATGCCGGGGACGCCGGGCTCGGGTAAGCGAGAGCGCTGGAAGAGCTTTACAGGAGCAGAGTAAGTCTGTGGATGATCTGATGTCACAAGGGACAAGAGAGTGGTCTTGCCGGAACCATTCGCCCCAAATATACCCCAGCGTTGATTTCGACACACATCCCAATGAAGACCGGATTGAGAAACGCCATTGACTTCCTGTTTCCAGTCTCCTAAGACAGAGTTCTGGCCGTAGGCAATGCGTACTCCTTGCATCTCGACGACGGGTTCTCCGATAGTAGGTATAGAGGTATCCACTGTTTCGTAGCCGTCTCGGCTCAGTGCCGGCGTACCTGGCGATGTTTTGGATTCGTCTCTTCCTGATTGTAGTCCTGATTTCGTTGTGTCTTTGATGCTTGAGCTCTGCTCATCATCCTTGAGACTCTCGACTTCCCCGTACTTCTCTTCCAGATACCTCAACACCTCCTCCTTTGGCCCCAGCCTATTAACCTTTCCGTCTTCCCCAGCGTACACAACATGTGTAATCCAGTCAGGAACATCATCCTGCGGTCGTAGACTGAGAACAACACGTGGTGCGTTGGCTTCCGCAAGACGATGCAAAACCTTGGAGATGTGCCTTGTGACAATAGGATCAAGCCCAACTACCACACTGTTAGGTTACTCTATTCAAGAATACAATAGCAGCACAAAGTCAAGACTCACTAAACGGGGCATCCAGACACAGCATCTCAGGCCTACTCAGCAATGCCTTCGCAATTCTCGCTCGTCTGCTCTGCCCGTTGCTCAACATACTGACAGGCTTGTCGATAAACCTCTCTAGTTCCAAATCCCGCATTACCCTCTTCATATCATCCTCATCCACACTCTTTGCCTTCAATTCCTCTTCTCCAGGGTTCATCGTTACGATACCCGTCAGGTATCTCTGGACAGTGAAATCGGTATCTTCTCTTAGGGACTCATAGCGTGCCGACAGATAGGCGCCACCAAAAGCTTTCCGCTCAACATCGAAGCCCACATACTCGATCGCTCGCTCGGGGAAGCGGAAGCGTGGTCTATTTTCTGTGATGGCTGGGGTGAGAAGGTAAGGGAAAGACCGCGCTGTTGGGGGGAAGCAGAGTAGTTGACCGCGAAGGACTTGGAGAAACGCCGTGCGAATGTCAGATGATGGGCTGAGAACCGCCCAATGCTGTTTCGGCGTTGAGAAGGATGGTAGATCTAACGTAAGGCTCGAGAATAACGGCGGGTTTGAAGCAGCATCTTGACCTTTTGACGAAGGATGTTGGCGGTAAAACGTGCCATTGGCGATCTTAACGATAGGCGACGACGAACAAAGCCTACGTGAAGTTCCAAGTCTTGCACATCTTGTGGCTGCGGAGAACAGCGCTTGCGGTCTTCGCATTTCGGAATCGCGTTGTTGTTGCACTCATGTTGGAACGGGATAGATGGCCTGCATTTGGTGGTGTTTGACGCAGCGGAAAAGTGTCCGTGTCCGCGAAGACGAAGTAGGAATGACGTCGCGCGCGGTCGCTTGGTCTGCCGAGGTATGTGAGGGATGGCGTCTCCGCATAATTGTTACGCACAACAGATAGAGGCTCTAGCCCTTCTCGCGCGAGTAACCTGACATGTTCCCTAGTTTGCAGCCGTCGAGGCCAAAGGTATGTCGTCTACAGTCGTAGTTTTATCAGACTTGCTGACGGAACGTAGCCTCACCAGCAACCCGCAACACCCTCATTCGCGCACCAACAGCGACGCGCCGCGCATACGCCATCACAAGCCTCGCAACAAGCTACAACGCAGCCTTCAAACCCATTCACCAACGTTTCGAAACCGCGATCACAAATCGAAGCTATGCCACCCTTTGGCCCCCCGCAAACGCCAGCTACCTTCTTCACACCCGTCTACGACAGCGCAATACGGCATCCGGTATTCTTCACGCAAAATCTGAAAAAGCCGCCGTTTCCCATACCACAAGCCGCTAGTCAAGGCTGGAGTCCAGTGGCGAGTGGCTATGTGATGGAGCAGAGGCGAGCAGAGGTGACGGGGAAGACGAAATTATGATCATGAAGTAACGTGTACAAGCATTGGGCGGCGTCGAGGAGTTCAAGGTGTCCGATTTGCACTCAACTGAAGAGATTGAAAGACATGCGACATCTGCAAGCTATACGAGCTCTGGTCAGCCACGTTCGTGGATGCCTTCGGCTCGACTTCAGATGGTCTTGATTAGGAAACTCGCTGTTTTGAATTGTGCTACCCTTATATTGCTTGTCTTCTTCTAGTAATGCATGCTACCTAGTGTAGCGGGTATCTCTAGCAGCGGTCACGTTTAGACGTATCCCTCCCTTCCGTTCCAGAGCTCCTTCAGACCCCACACATCCGATTTCCTACAAGCTTTGCCGGCCTACAAGCTTGCTGGGTAACAGGGCTGTCGTGATGACACAGCCCAGTGTTACTCCTCCAGCTAGATATAAAACACTGTTGATGTCCCTCCCTGCACCACCACCACCAGCATACAAATGCTGTGCAATAAGTGGACTGATAATGCCGAACAGCCTGCCCCAGAAACTCGCGATACCGCATGCCGTGCCTCTGATAGGTGCCGGAAAAGCCTCGGGTGTCCAACCGTACAAGACCGAGTTGAACATGGATTGGAAGAAGTACTCCATGACGTTGAATCCAATGTTCGAAGCTGCCGAGTTGACACTACTGAAGAGGAAGATGGAAATGCCCATGAGCGCAGACGAAACCACCATTGTCCATTTGCGGCCCACTCGTGATGCACGATAAGATAGAGTTCCGAGCACGACGCCGAGAACTCCGGGAAGATAAATGAAAATGTAAGAGCGGTAGGTGTAGCGGAGCGAAAGATCCAGGGCGCCGTTCTTTACGGCCAAAATCTGTGGAAGGTAGGAGCCTAACGGAAAGTCAGTATACATTATCAAGAGAACACATGTGCAACTCACCTGCAACAGTGAAGCCCCAATAGTCGCATATGTAAGTAAGCCAAACCAAAAGTGTCAATCTTGTCATCTGATAGCTCGAAAACAGAATCTTGAAGCGGTCGCCTTCTAATTTCAGCTTCTCAGCCCATGTGGACTTGAGCTGTTTGACACCACCTCCAAGCATGGGTCCAGTATTTCGGTCAGAATCAAACTCTCTTTCAAGTGCTTCGAGATCCTCCAGGATCAATGTACAGTTTGTACCGTTGTATTGAGCCATAGTGTGCAACACTTGGATGGCTTCTGCATCTTTTCCACGATATATGAGGAATTTCGGGGACTCCTGGAAGGTAAAAATAACCGAACGCAAGACGAAGACAAGTATCGTTATGCCTCCCAGAGTAAAGAGTAGATAGCGCCATCCCATATTGTCTTCCCTTGAGCAACAGGCCTCTCCTGTAGCAACGATGCCGCAAGCAGGTAACGCTCGATCTCCCTCAGAGAAATTGGGACTGCAAGACCAGTTGGGGATGAAACCGTAGGCGAGCAATGAGCAGATAACAACACCGATTGGTTGAAAAATGGACAATAAGGGAAGAAGGTAGCGCTTGCTCTGGGGGGTGGCTTCCAAGGTTATCGTGGTGTCAATGGGAATGTTGCCCCCAACGCCGAACCCAGTAAATGCCGTAAGAACCAGAATGGCGTTATAAGTGCTTGGAGCGCCAATGCAAGTGCCGAAGATGCACGCGATGAAGACTGTCAGGTTGAAAGAGAACTTTCGCCCAATCACGTCCACAAGGACACCCCACACAAACGCACCGGCGGTGAGTCCGATCGAAAAGGCAGTGGATAGCTTGCCAGTTTGATCAGCTCCAAACCCCATTTCCTGCTGGATGGGCGAAAGGACGAGGCCAAATGCCTGTGCCCACATCAAGTCAATCATGTAGCCAAAGCCACAAAGGGCCCAAATCGACCACTGGTATCGACCCATGCCCATGAGGTCGATCTCGCGGTTGATGAGCAAGCATTTCTTCTCGTACAAAGAAATATCCTCATCGCCAAGCTCTTCAGCTAACGAGCGTGAACGCTCCGGGTCGTCCGACCGATTATGGCTAACAGGCTTCTCTTTGTCTGTG